CTATGAAGAAGCCAATGCTTACGAGATAGCTATCTACATAAAAGACAAGGGGTCCCCTGCCATGGAGGGTCACTGCAACATCAGAGTGGAACTTGTTGATGTCAACGACAACCGCCCAGAGATTATGCTGACTTCCCTCTCTAGCCCAGTGCAAGAAGATGCACCCACAGGAACAGTCATTGCCCTGATCCAAGCAAAGGACAACGACTCGGAGGAAAATGGGCAAGTCCACTTGGAGATTACCAGGCACATCCCCTTCAAACTGGTGTCTTCCTTTAAGGGACATTATTCACTGGTGACCAATGGGCCCCTGGACCGAGAGAAGGCTGCTGGATATAATATCACAATTAAAGCAACAGATTCTGGAATGCCTCAAAAATCCACCCACAAAAACATATTTATTCAAGTCTCAGATGTCAATGACAATGCACCCACTTTCTCCATCCCTTCATACACTGCCCATGTGGAGGAAAATACTTCCCCTGGGACTCTAGTTTTTTCTCTGTCAGCCTCAGATCCGGATGCAGGTGTCAACTCCAAGCTGTCTTATTCCATTGTGGACAATGGAAATCATGGCTTACCCATTTCGACCTATTTCCACATCAACCAAGAGAATGGCAGCATTTACACATCCAGGATGCTTGACTATGAGCAAGAGAAAGTCTTTCAAGTTGCAGTGGAGGTGAAGGATTCAGGTTTCCCACCCCTGAGCAGCACAGCCACTCTTCACTTGTTTGTTGTGGACCAGAATGACAACGCTCCGGTGATTGTGCACCCGCAAGTCTCCAAGGGCTCTGCCTTTCACCAGCCAGTTCTGCTTCCAGTGGAACCTGGATTCCTGGTGACCAAAGTGGTGGCTGTGGATGCTGACAGTGGCCACAATGCTTGGCTGTCATATAGTTTGCTTCAGGATGCCAATGAAGCCACCCCGTTCAAAGTGGAACGCCACTCAGGAGAGATCCGGGCTGTTCGGGCATTGAGGGAGCCTGGGGTGTCCCACAGGTTGGTGATAGAAGTAAGAGACAATGGAGTGCCGTCTCTCTCAGCCTCACTGGTTCTTGTGATTTCCTCAGAGGATAATGCTGTGCAGGACTTTTCCAAGTCCTTGGACCTTCTCCCCAAATCACCTTCCAGAGCCCCCAGCCTAACTCTCTACCTTATCATCTCTCTTGTGGCCATCTCTCTGGTCTCTTGTGTAATGTTGGTTATTGTGGGGGCCAGGTGCTTCAGATCTGGCCTCTGTGTCCCCAGCTGGTTCATGTCACACTGCTGTAGTAAGAGGACAGACAGGAAATCCACCATAAATTTCACTGGGCGCCCACATCCCGAAGGCTTTATCAGATACCTTGAAGTGGGCGGAGCTGGAGCTCAGCACTACAAGTCTTGTCTCTCTCCAATGTCTGAACAGGGCGAATTCTTTTTTGTTAAACCTTTCAGTCATTCCACTACAGCAGAAAGCATGCTTGCCTTTGAGCAGGCAGGCAGTGTTTTGCAGAGTCCCTCTGATGGGGTAAGATACACTAAAGTGATTCTTAAAACATTTCTGCTTGCAATCCATAAATCCATATTTATCTACCATATTTATCTACCATAGACTTCCATCTGCTAGGTGTAAAGAGGTAAATGAGGTGTGTATGCATGTGTGTGTGTGTTGTGGAGGGTGACATCCCGGGGTTCCTTCATTTTGCAGCTATTATGCTTTTTACAAGGTGCATGTAGGGCTTTCATTTCTTTCCATGCTACACTCTCTCCAACTGCCTCCCACCCCCAGGATGTTCTATGGTAAATTGGGGTGAGGGGAGAATGCATGTGCAGTGGTTGCTCTTGATAAGGACTCCTGGGAATATGATTAAAGGGTGGTATAAAAATATTACAATAAAACAAATATATAGGGTGATAATCCAACATAATCCCATCCGTGCAAGGATTTCTGCTTGTGAAATGGGGTCTGCCCCTTCCCTCCCCCATTCTTCCTCTCCACATGCTCCACAAACTCTCCCCAAATCTGCTCCAGAGAGTTGAGGAACCTCCAGACAGAGTTAGGTGGTGCACAGCGAGTGGGACGGGGGGAGGCAAGAGGCAAGGGGAGTCCTGTTGTGCAAGAGGAAACCCATGTGCTGATGGGACGTTAGGTAGCCCTATGCTGGACATAAGGTCAGGTGGATCCACAGTCCTGTTTGGGTTGCTACAGTTGCTTGTCAGTTAGGCTTTTAAAAACCCAGTAGAATTATTATTATGCCACCCGTGTGCACAGCACTTTACAGAGTAAAGAAAAGCACAACCCATGGCCCTGCCACAAGAAGCTCTCGACCTAAATGTAGTCAGAGAAAAGGGGGAGGCAAGTTTAGCGAAGGATGAATGAGAGCAGATGCAGCTACAAACGAGCTCTGTTCCAGACCTTCTCTACATGTGCAGCAAACATTTGGGGAAGAAGCCAGATCTGAACAGACTTTGACTCCACTCTCATCTCAGCTGGAGAGGAAAGCCAGAGGTTGAAACCAAAGGCTTTATGGAAGAAGTTAGTTCTGAGCAGAGGTTCAAAGGAAGAGACTGAAATGGGACCACATGGGTGTATATGTTGAGGCATCTTTAGCTGCATCGTTTTGCACAGATGTGCTTAATGGATCCTTTAGCAAAAGAGACTGTGATGGTGGTGATGGTGAGGATATGGGTCAAAAGGTGAGGGTTGCTGGATTCATTTTAAAAAGTACTCCCTACTCACCTCACTGCTACCATTTTCAGAGTTCTGTACAACTGTCAGGCAAATCCAGATCTATCACCATCTTAAGGTAATATTGTGGAAAAACTGTGAAGCTGCTGGTGTTACTTTGCCATTTTGAGCATGTTTTGATTTTGACATGTTGCATCTTCTCCCCAAAAGCAGCCTGCAAGCATTTGAAACAAGTACGTCTAATAAATACATGATTCTGTGACATCACAGTTACACTTAAGTAGCACCTTAGGGGAAACATCTTATGACCATTCACTGGGAAGTTCTTCTGTGCAAGTCCCATTGAAGTAAATGGGCATTTCAGAAGTGCACAGCCATAAGAGTGGCAGGAGCTAAGAGTGACTGCAAATGAGACAGTATATTTTTAACTGAATTATTTGGATGTGTTATAATGTGAGTAATTGATACATTTTAAAATATAAATTAAAAAATTAAAAAATATATTTTTAAAAATGAAAATTTCCCATTGGGTTAACACAAGGGATAGGAAGCAGTGAGCCCTTGGTGAAAGGGGCAGGCTCAGCTTATTTAAGAAAAAGCAACAACACAAAATTTACATATCAGTAATTTTAACAAACTGCTCTTACTTCATTTTTGCTTCTTTCCTGCTTCTAAATTTTGCTGGCGCTATGAAGATACTATGTGCTGAAAGAATGCAGTATTTTGCAACACATGACACTCTGTTTTGCAATCCTTATCGTACACAGCTTTCACATTCCAGCTTTTGCCACCTCGTAAAGAAATATAGCTGAAATTTGAGCTTTTTGAGACTTGGGGACAGGAACTTAACCATTTTAGGAATGTCTAAATCCACATTTAGAAAGTTAAATAAACAGGTGCCATTTTCTAAACTTCAGAAAAACCACAGGTTGTGTGTGAGGGTTTTTTTTAATTCAGTGTGTGCTGAAGATGCTCAAAATATATTTAATGAACTGCCTGTATTTAGGTGTTTAAATTTAGGATTCAAGGTCTGATTATTGTAGCAAATTATAGAAGCAACTGAGGAAGTAAGTGTTCACAATGAATAACTCAAAGGAGGAGGCTTGTTTCTGCATATTTAGTCTGCAGAGAAATATATGTATATTTATACATGCTATATACTGTTATATATGATAATTTTACACATACACATACATAAATAGATTTATGAACTTGTTTAACTGACACCAGTAGTATATTTTAATCCTTTAGCTTTCACAGATCAATAATCAGAAAAGCTGGAATCCTCCTCTTGTAGTAGGACACATTGTCTCAGCCCTAGCTATGTCTACTCAGAAATGAGTCCTATTGAATTTAATTGGGCTTAGGTACTCTCAGGCAAGTGGGGTTTGGATTGCAGGCATATAGTTTTTTATTTGCAGGGTTCTTGGAGTCCAGATTCACCTGAATCAATTCTAATTTTGACATTGATTTAATAAGATGTCGATTACACCTTGTATCCTGATCTTAAAACATGTTTATCCATTTTGTTTAAGGAAAAAACACATAAACAACGGTTCGGGCGCAAATCTCTCTAATGGTGTGGAATATTATTACTGAAGGATTAATGGAGGAGACTGACAGGATATCTGGAGTTTTGCAGCATGCATCAACCACAGTGTGTCTTTCAGCTGTGATCACAAAGAGCCATTCAGACATGCTGCTCATAGTGGCATTTTATGTACTCCTTTATTTACAAAATGTCCATTGTTCTAATAATACAACAATGTGGGTGGAAAGTAATACATGGCTCACTCTATTCTGATATAGTGTCTTCTGTTGCGCCTTCAAAGAAATCATTATTGTTGTGGGAAATGGAATTTTTAATCTCAGTGGGCGAAAAAGATTGCAAAGCTCCAAAGATCAAAGGAAACAGAAGACATTAAATCAAAGCCCTAACACTGACCTGTTTCAGTAAAGATTATAAATTAGGAAATTCTATTAGCATTTCAGATGTTGGTACTCTCTCAGTACCAATTAATTCTGCTCTTCTCTCCCCTCCCCCCCCCCAAAAAATTATTCCTGATCTTCTGGTGTTCTCTGGTTTAAATGATGCCCCTTCAAGCTTATTTCATGCTTCATTTATTCATGGATAGTTTCTGACTGTCTTATCTTCTGCAAGATTATTTAGATTACTTTCTTATCATGTTAACCAATCACGCTTCTTTAGAAGTATTTCAGAACATATAATGATGTTCTCTGCTTGTGTGTGCATGTGTGTGTGTATTTTATAGCTGAGCTTCATTTTAGGAATAGAAGCATTAAACCTCTCTTTGTGTTTCTCTTGCAGCAAGCACAACCTAACACAGACTGGCGTTTCTCTCAGGCCCAGAGACCAGGAACCAGTGGGTGAGTTATTTATTTTCTCATCTTCTGCAAAGCTGTTCCAAAGTTCCAACTATGGATTTTAGTTCTGTGTTGTTGTGGAAATGCACTGAATATATGGATGTGCAGCTGAGGCAGCAGCAGCCTGATCTTTCTTTACAGCTGTTCTGCCACCATTTCTATAATACACCGTGCTAAAAAATTTTTTGAAAAGGGTTGTGTGAGTTTGAATCTGTATTATCTCACACTTCAGTTTTCCATAAGCAGTGAATGAACCAACCTATGGATTAAGGCAGGAATGGGGAACCTATGGTCCTCCAGATGTGTCCAGACTACAGCTCCTATCATCCCTGACTGTTGGCCACCCTGGCTGAGAGTGATGGGAGTTGGAGTCCAACAACATCTGGAGGGTCACATCCCTGGGTTAAGGCATATTCCTGAGCTTCTTGTTATACTGGTTGTCTGGTTCTATCTATTGTTACCAAAAAAAAGAAGAAGCTGGGTCGTAAATGAGAGAATTAAATGACTTACCAACAATCTCTTGTCAAGCTATTAAGCAAATCCAACTGAGCTGAATTGGTTATTATTAAAATAGGATTGCCAGTTGGCCAAAAAAGAAAGCTCTCACCCCTGTGCCTCTGCAAAAGTCATCAAGTGGTAGTATGGAGCAAGGTGTTCCACCATTAATTTGCTGCAGAACAAATTGCAGTTAAAGGGGCTAGCCAAAACTTGGAATACAGAGTCATGTAGATTGTTGGAGGATGCTGGATGATGAAAACATGGTCTGGTAGCACTTTCTGCCTCCCTCAGATAATGAATATCTGAGATAGCTGTGGAGAAAGCCAGCAGGACCCCAAACCACAGAGAACCATGCTAGAATGAAGCAACACCTTGAAAACTCCTTGACATTGTCGCCATGTGATAAAGTTGGGCTCTAGCCTGCAAAAGATTCTGCCATTAACAAACACAATAGCTTTTAAAGGGCCACAGGACTCCTTTTGTAGATTTTGCTTCCCTCTATGGACCCGACACACTTACAGTTCTGAAAACTGTGCTCTTATTAATCAAGGATGTCAAGTTCAATATTGCCCAAAATAAATTGAATATATAGAATATGAATAGCCTTGGGGTGTTGTAACAAATGAACAAAAGTCCAAAGGAAAGAGTGGTGACAATATAGTAGCTTTGTAAATAGAAGCTATTATCCCCTTACTGAAAGTTGCATGGTGAATCTGTGACTCAGGTGACTGTAATTGATCGATTTAGCAAAATTTATATACTGCTTGTTTATAAATAAAACTTCTAAGCGGTTTACAAAAAAATATTATTAGTTATTAAATTTCTATACCCACAGTGCCTCTGTCTTGCCAGGATTCGAGCTCAGTTTATTTCCCCATGTAGTCCACCATTGTATTCAGGCCTGCATGACCTCCCCTGATTCAGATGTTTTCAAAAAATAAGACCTGAGCATCACCAGAATACAAATGGCATCCTGCCCCCAAACTCCTAATGACTACTCCCAGTGGTTTCAGAGCACTGGGGATAAAACAGTGGCCTGTGGCATAACTGCCAGGGAGCCAAAAAGCACTTTTCCAGTGCTCCTATCTGGACTTGGTCCCATAGGTGGGACCAGGACAACTGTAGTACAGTACCCCCAGATCCCCACTTCACAGAGCCAGTCTAGAGGTCTTTTTATAGTCCAGTGTGCCGTGGCACCCCAGGGTTCCTTGAATGATGGTCAGGGGTGCTGTGGGCAACACTGGCCTCTGTCCCTCTTTTCTTTCTTTCCCTCCCTCCTTTGATGCCTTCTCAAGTCTCAGCCTCCCAGAGATTTGCACAGCTGTTTGTTGCAGCAGCCCAGGCTATAAGCCCTGCAGGTGAATGGTGCCTCTGGGAGACACCAGGACCAGGGGTGGCAGGAGTTGCTGCCCAGAGGACTCCCAAGTAGAGGGGAGAGGAGAAGAGGTTGAGGGGAGGCTGCCAGCTCTGCAGGCAAGGGGTGACACAACTGGTCTCCTGAGCCCCACAGGGGTGCCGCAGAAAGAATGTCGTTGGTCCAGGGAGCCGTGGACTCCAAAAGCTTGAAAACCTCTGCCATAGTCAATGGTATTGAAAGCTGCAGAAATACTGAGAAGTGGGAGCAAAGTTGCACTGCTCTCATCCCATTCTTTGGAGTGCCCCTGGACACCTCCATCCAAAGGCACCGGCTCCTGAGGGCTGAGGCACTTTGCCCCCCCCAAAATAAATGTTTGGGTTTTCTGCAGATTGATGTTTGTTCTGATTAAGCAGTAAGCAACGGGTTTTCCTGGGGAAATCAGCAAGACCAAAAAAAAACCTCTCAGACACTTGAAATCATGAGACAAAGGGAAGTGCAGATGAACCCTGAGCCACAAATGTCTTAGCTCTAGAACCAGGCACTTGTTTTTCAAGTTGCCAATAGCAGGGTTGCATACTTTTAAAAAAGGGTTCTGCTCCAGTGTCTTTTACCAGGGTAATCAGAAGTTTTTAAAAGAAGGTTGATGTAGAGCCATGACAAAGAGACAGAGTGCTGACTCAGGAAGGCCCTGGTTCAAATCTCACCTCTGCCATAAGGTAGCCCTAGGCAAGCCAGCCTCACTCTCATCCTCTGCTTTCCCACCCACCTGCCACTGCAGTCTGGAGGCTAACACAGACGTGTTGTAAGGATTACATCAAAACAATGCAGGTGGAGCACTGGTACAGATGTTTCTTATCTCTGCCCCTACTCTTTGTACCTTTAACATCAGCCTGACACGGAGAAATATCTGGCATAGATATTCATGGTGGGGTGAGCTTTACCAGTTGTGGTCACCCTAGTTATCAGAACGCACGTTGTACCCAATTACATTGAAAGAAGTAACTTGGGCCATTAAAAATAATAAGTATGCCAATATGCCTACTTTTGTCATTCAGAAAACTCTGCATTTAGTAACAGATGTTTAAGCATCTATTGGCCAATTGAACTTGACAGTCCTTTGATTGCGAAACCAACAATGGAGACACACCTGTCCCAGAGCAGAGTTTTTTTAGAACTTCCAGAGCAGGAGAACAGGCAAAGTGGATCTACTGGATCTACATTCTGATATATTCTTATTTTGCTTAGGGAATTGACACAAGAAAGCTGGTGTCCACCAGAGCTGTGTTGCGCCCCTCCCACCCAACTCATAAAAATACTGCAAATTGGATAAATCACCTGGCTGTTTTTAATAATAATAATAATAATAATAATAATAATAATAATAATAATATCCTACAACAGATGGAATATATTAAAGTGGTAGCTTAGGGTAAAAAAAGGAGGCACGTAATGCCTGCATCTGAATAGATCTGAGATGCTTGTCCCAGCAGGCTTCTGCAAACTGAACTGCAGCTGTACAAGCAGGAATGCATTATGTGAAACCTTTTGCTCTCATCACCACATCTGCATAATTGGGGAAAGTGCCAGTAGTTGAAACTTTTCCCAGTTGCACAGATGCCTAATGAGAGGGAAAGGCTTCACTTGCAGAAATCTTCTTACACACCTGTTAAAGGCTCAGAAAATCTGCCAGAAAATGTTGGCAACTCCAATCCAGAATGCAGTAAATATACTGTACTGTAGTAAAATAGGTCACTGAGTGTTTGATAAAGGGCTTTTTGTTCCTAGATTAGAAGCAACATCATCATAGAAGGCAGCATTCTTCAGGCCTCAAGGAAAAGCTCAGTTTGAGCTTCCTGGTTGTCCAGACTTGCTGCTGCAGCAGCAGCAGAGCTGCCAACTTTTCAGCCAGTCCCTTTAGCTCTTCCTTAACCATTTGAGCTACAGCAGTGAACAGGTGATTTGCTCCATGGCATGAAAAGCTTCACTTCTGATTTCTTCCAGTCAGAACCCTGTTAATGGCACAGGAGCATTTTCCCCCCTGAGTAGTTGCACATATGGCCATTTCCAAATTTTAGATCAGTGTTTGCCACGATCAATGTATATTCTCAGTGGTTTAATTTCATTTCGTCTTGGTCTACTGTTTCTGCCCCCAGTTCAGCAAAGCTTGTAGATAAAAATGGGGAGGGGGAGGCTCATGATACTCAGGGGTTTGTCTGTTGACTTTTTGGTTGGAAGAGGCAGTGGAGATTGGACAAGATGGGCCCACATCCTCACATCCTCTTTGGTGGCATCTGTGCTGCCCATTTGCTTGCTCTCCTCCTTTGGGTCCAGCCCCACACTACTGCTGAAAGAGAGAGGTGGGGGTGGCTGCTCTTTCTGTGACTTCTCCTCCTCCTCCTCATTCTTGCCCCTGCTCACATGCCTGCAGTGGCAGGTGTGGTTCAGCTCCTGTTTTTTTTTTTTTTTTGTTTTTTAAAAATATTTTATTAAGGATTTTCTTGTTTTACAGAAGTAAGTGTAATGCCTCATGTATTTTTTTCCATGTAACATTTTTACAAATCCGTTTCATTTGTTGAGGCATTAGGGGGAGAAGAAAAAAAGGAAAAAAGAAAGGGGGTGGAGAGAGGGGAGATGGATAGGGGTGGGGTCGGGTGGCGGTGTTTCTATTATGTTTAATGTATGTAGAGTTTGGTGTCAGTGTTGCTTGTGTTGTTCACTTGTGTTCCTTTGGTGGTGAGAGAGGTTGGGGTTGGCCTAGGGTGTGATTGTTTGCTTGTGATTGGCTGTGGTGATCTTTGTTTTCGTGTGTGAGTGGGGTGGGTGGGTGTTTTGGATCAGGTTAGCCATATTGATTTGTATGCTGTTGGTGGATTATTGTCATTGTCCTGTTGGGCTGTGTATGTGATAAAGGGGAGCCATACCGGGGTGAAGGCGTCTTCTGTTTGTCCCCGTGTCAGTTTCAGTTTATTAGTTAATTTTTCTAGTAGGGCTGTTTCCCATACTATTTGGTACCATTGGTCCATGCTTACTCCTGACAGGTCTCTCCAGTGTCTGGTTATGGTGTTTCTGGCTGCTGAGAGCAGGTGGGTTATGAGTTCTTTGTGGTGTAAATGGGCATTGTTGTCTTGGAAGATGTTTAGTAGGGCCA